TTACAAGTAAAACAGCTTTTAAAAACCGTTACTATTCCTCCTCCTCGTCCAGACATCCTTGGAAAATTGAAATAGCAGCAGTTTTGCGGCAAGAGTTCATTAAAAACGCTGGACTCACCCATACCAGTTGTCCAAGATTCCGTTATGAATAAGAAATCCAGGCTTTGAGAGGAAAAGTAATCCTTAATGGCGAAGGTTTTGTTTGCTAGCGACCTAGCATTTATCAGACCGATCCTGGCAGAGATTGGCGGATCTCCGCCACCATCTGACGTCCGAGATTCCCGGCGAAGAGGTCGCAGGTTGTGAAGATTCACCACACGTCTATAGGGCCGAGGAGTGCAGGGAAAACGGGGCTGGAACAGTCCATCATGGCCTCCATCAACAGGCACTAAACAGGTACCCACAGGATCCAACGCACGTAACGGGAAGTAGAGGCGCGGCACCCGCCCACGAACATTGAATGGGTCTGGACATCGATGCCCCAAAGCAGCCTTCAAACGCACCAACCAGCCGCTACGTTTGCCACGGCGCTTCCGTCGAAAAGGTAGAGGCCAGAAGCGACACAGGTAAGCTGGAATGCCCAGCAACAAGGGCGGGGTTTTTCCACTAGTAGGATTCCACGATAACATATTACCAGTCGAGGCTCCAATCGAAGCTCCAATGTCTAGCAATTTTTGGCGATCATAGACAATCCGAGCGTTTACACTTGCATTGAGGATAAAAATAGACAACAGAAAAAATAGTAGGAGCAGCAGACAGCGAGCCTCAAACACTGGCGCCATCTTGAACCAACCAACAACCCAATGCTGTTGCCGAGACTGCATGTGATGTCATCAGCTCTGAGGTTGCTAAGCTTCAAACACAACACCCTAGTGTGTTTGTTGCAATATCTGGGGATTTTAATCATGCCTCTCTCTCTGCTACACTTCCGACATTCGAACAGTTTGTCAGCTGCTCTACCAGAGAAAACAAAACACAGGACTTGTTTTATGCAAATGTCAAGGATTCATACATCGCTAAAGCAAGACCCCTTCTTGGCAAATCAGATCACAATCTTGTGTATCTCTGCTCAAAATATAAACCCCCTGTTCAGAGGCAACCTGCAATAAAGAGAACAGTGAGAAAATGGTCAATGGAAGCTGAAGAAGCCCTGCGGGGTTGTTTTGACGCTACAGACTGGGATACACTGTGCCAGCCACATGGAGAGGACATCAATGCCATGACTGAGTGTGTGACCGACTATATAAACTTCTGTGTAAACAACACCATCCCCACCAGAACAGTGAGATGCTTCCCCAATAACAAACCCTGGATTACCACTGACCTGAAGGAACTGCTAAACCAGAAAAAAAGAGCCTTCAGGGAGAGAGACAGGGAATTATTGAAGAGCACACAGAAGCAACTAAAAGTCAAGATGAGAAACAGCAAGGAGGTGTACAAGAAGAAGCTGGAGAGCAAGCTCCAACAGAACAATATCAGAGAGGTGTGGTCAGGGATGAAACAGATCACAGGCTTCAAGCAGAAGGAGGATCAGAAGGATGGAAGCCTGGACAGAGCCAATGAACTGAACACGTTCTTCAATAGGTTCAGTTCAGGAACAAGCTCAGCATCCTCCTCTCTTGCCCACAGCCAAACATACATACCACCCTCCATTGACCCAAGGCTGTCCTGTCACACCTCAAATATTGTATCTACCACCTCAGTCATGGACCCTTCTTCTACATATTGGTCTTCAACTAAATCAGAAGATGCTGATACCTCCTTTGCCTCCCTCCTCTGTGTCTCCAGAAGTCAGGTGAAGAAGCAGCTAGAGAGACTGAACCGGAATAAGGCTGCATGTCCAGATGGTGTCCCAGAGTCCTGAAGGTCTGTGCAGAGCAGCTCTGTGGGGTTCTGCAGCACCTATTCAACCTTAGCCTGACCCAGGAGAAGGTTCCAGTGTTGTGGAAAACATCCTGTCTTGTTCCAGTGCCAAAGAAAACGCACCCATCAGTCCTCAATGACTATAGACCTGTTGCCCTGACATCCCACATCATGAAGGTCCTAGACAGACTTCTGCTGACCCACCTGACTAGACAAACAAGCACATATCAGGACCCACTGCAGTTTGCTTATCAGCGTGGACTTGGAGTTGAAGATGCCATCATACACATGCTTCAGCAAACTCCCTGTCATCTAGAAAAGGCAGACAGCACTGTGAGAGTCATGTTCTTTGATTTCTCCAGTGCATTTAACTCAATCCAGCCTGATTTGCTTTGTCAGACACTTCAGAAGACTCAGGTGGAGGCCTCAACAATCGCCTGGATCAAAGACTACCTGACGGACAGACCACAATTTGTGAGACTGAAGGGTTGTGTGTCTAACCAGGTGGTCAGTAGCTCAGGAGCACCACAGGGGCCTGTACTCTCACTATTCCTTTTCACTCTGTACACCTCAGATTTCCAGTACAAAACAGATTCCTGTCATCTGCAGAAATATTCTGATGACTCTGCAGTAGTCGGGTGTATCAGAGATGGACAAGAAGCTGAGTACAGGGAACTGGTGGATCGCTTTGTGGCATGGTGTGGAAACAATCATCTCATCTTGAAAGTGAACAAAACAAAGGAGATGATTGTAGATTTTAGGAGAATCAGGAACAGATCCAACACTATTTTCATCATGGGAGAAGAAGTGGAGGTGGTGGAGAAGTATAAATATCTTGGAGTTCACCTGGACAATAGACTGGACTGGAAATGCAACAGTGAAGCTGTCTACAAGAAGGGACAGAGCAGACTGTACTTATTGAGGAAGCTCAAGTCCTTCAACGTTTGCAGCAAGATGCTGCATATGTTATACAAGTCTGTTGTAGAGAGTGCCATCTCTTCTGCCATCATCGGCTGGGGTAGCAGCACCAGAGCAAGTGACTTAAAAAAGATCAACAAGCTCATAAAGAAGGCTGGCTCAGTTCTGGGGACTCTTCTAGAACCTTTGAAGATGATTGTTCAAAGAAGGATTCTTCATAAAATGAAGAACATTATAGACAACCCTCAGCATCCTCTTCATCAGACTGTCATACAACAACAAAGTGTCTTCAGTCAGAGGATTCTTCAAATCCGTTGTAGGACAGACCGCTACAAGAGATCCTTCCTGCCCACAGCCATCAGCATCTATAACAACTCTTTAATGAAACCAGGATGATGAGTTACAACAACATTTAATTTCCCTCTGGGATTAATAAAGTATTTTTGAATTGAATTGAAACAATTGTGTTTATCTGAATTCAGCTCCCTGACTGGCCTTGACAGGCCATTTTATCTCAACCCGCCTGGAAGTTTTGTAAACCTGATGCTCTGTCCCTCCTTCTCCTCCAACTGAGGAATTTCCCTGGACTTTTCAGAGGGGCCCAACTGAATAAACATTCTGTCATCATTTCAGGACTCTTGGACTTGTCCTCGGTCGTCCTCTGCACCCCCCGAGTGTGTACGGATCCCTCCAGAGGGAACTCTTTGAACTGAGTGATTTTATCTGAACTCTGCAGTGCCTCTGTGTGTGTTGTCTCGACATATGCTCACCGCCCTTGCATCCCCCCCCCACCCCCCCATGTGGAATGTCTGTGTCTTTATGTGCTAGTGTGCGAGATTTTTTCATTATCATGCTGTTGACCTTCAGAAGTTAAGAAAGAGCGTTAGGAATTTTTTTTGTCTCCAAACCCCGTGTCATTTTTCACCACTTTGTATTGTCTGTCCAAACAGGTTTCACTTGTAAATGAGTCTTCGAGGCTCAATGTGACTTATCTGTTTAAATAAACGTTGAAGGAATAGAAAGATATATTTTAATTAACTTTATTAAATGTGGTATGTCTCATAAATGTATTTTATTAACATAAAGTAATTATTTTGAGTACATTTTCCTTAATCTAGCATATTCAAAGGCGATCCGTGCAACCCAGAAATATTCTTTTTAGTGCATGTGCAAATGAGCTACAGTATGGATCGTGCTTCCAGAACAGATCGTGTAATGACAAGACCCTCTTCAGGTGGATGGTAAATGGACTGCATTTATATAATGTTTTTCTGTCTTATCAAGATACTCAAAGCTCTTTACACTACAATCTGTGCCTCATTTACCCATTCCTACAGCACTCTACTAGATCTCTACAAATATAATTGAACAAATCAGTCTAAAGAGACTAATCAGAGCTTTATCACATTCATACACTGATGGGGCACACATGGGAGGCAATGAGGGGTTCAGTGTCTTGCCCAGGGACACTTTGGCATGTGGCTGCTGGTAGAATCAAACCCCCATCTCTTGTATTGGAGGACGACTGCTCTAACCACTCAGCCACAGCCGCCTCAGGTGAATGATAAGAGGTGCTGCCTTCAGGCCTCAATAACCAAGTTATGGACTTCTGTTTTAGTTTGTAGCTGCAGCTACAGCTATGGAGTGGCCAAAGTGTAATCTATGGGTCCAAGGCCACCATTGGCCACCCTTTGGCTCCTCCACTGCTTCTGGTGGTGATAAAATGTCTCCGTCCCCCAGGATCCGTCACTCTGCTCTGCCTCAAACAAGAAAAAAAACAAATCTCCCTCTGCTCTTCTCCTCAGTAACTCTGACCCACATGAATATCTTACATTAAAAGCATTTAGGTTTACTTCATTCTCTGTTCCAGTCCAGAAAAACACTCCTCTCCAAACTACAAACCTTCACTGTTCAAACCCCTCAGCGACGGGACATAGGTGTCCCGTTTGTTGTTGTTAACACTTGGCGTGATCCGCTCACCTCTGACTGATTGAATGAGGCACGAGCGTTCAGACTGAGCTGAAAAACATCAGATCTGTATCCGATTCAGAACCACATGTGAAAATGACCTGGATCAGATTTAATAAATCAGTCACCTTCAGACTGATGATGGTTTTAATAAAATTCAGATGAGTTGTGTGAACGTGGCCTCAGACAAGTTTCAAAATGTCCAACAGGAAGTGGCAGGTCTAAACCCCTTCCTGTCTCTGTGTGTCCAGGTGATCCAGTACAGGAATGAACTGATGCACTCCTGTGAGTTCCGGGTGAAGGACGAATGGATCAAACTCTACCGCGGCACTCTCAAACACTTTGTCCAGCAGCTCAGTCAGGACGTCCCCCACATGTCCACTGTGGGACAACAAATAGAAGACGTGAGCGTCTTTGTGTCCCGCTGCAGGATCCGTCCACCGTTGGACACTTAGTCCTTAAACATGTTTTGTGCGTTTGCTCTTTTTGTTTGTGCAGATGCTGACTGTTGATCTGTCCATATGTGTCTTTGGTGTGGACCGGATGGACTCCGCTGGACCAGACTCAGACGCTGACAGCCAATTAGAGGCCAGCGCTGAGTTAGTCGGCCAATGGGAAGCTGAGCTGCTCCAGGAGATGTTGCAGGAGTGTCTTTGTGCTGAAGATGGTGTCGATTCAGAGACACAGGTAGGAGGAACAAAGAGTTTAAACAGAGCGGGTCAAAAGACACGAGTTTGACGTCTTCTCCTGCTGTCCTCAGGACACGGAGCAGCTGAGGAGGCTGCAGGCCTTCTTGCAGGCCAACCAAGATCTCAGGGAGAAGTTTTCCTCTGAGCTCCAGACCATCACCACTCTGGAGGTGGGACAATGAGGAGACAGACGATCACATCACACTGCTTTACTAATAATCAACACAACACGGACTTTGACTTATTATTCCTGAAAATAATTCACTTCATGATTCATGATCAGAGAAGAAGAAATCATTTAGTTCGAGAAACTTTTTTTTAATTGTTTACATTAAAACAAAGTAAAAGTGTTGGATTAGGCACTTTAAACTGGATTACAGTTAATCTGCACGACATCTGTGGAGGAGGTGTATTGTTTTTGCATAGTGACTTAATTAAAACTGTATTTAATTAAAAACTGTTATAAGCCTGCATGAATCCATCTGCTTTTGTTTTTACCAGATAAACCATTAAAACTGATATTGAGTCAAAAATCACAACTTCTGCTGAAGATCATTTACAAGTTTTATTTTATTTAATGAGTTAACGGAACAGTTGTCATGGCAGGGATCAGAAATATAACATAAAATAACGAGATTTCCTGTTAAAAGGCAGCGTGGATGATTTCTGCTGAATGGTTTCATCTCTGAACTGTTAATGTGAGCTGAATTTGAACAGCTGACATTTGCTGAAAGTAGGAACATAAAAGCTGAAAGCAGCAGAAAATGGCTGAAATCTTTTGAAAAAACAGAAATGTTCCAGAAATGAGCTGAATAAGCTGAAATAGGCAGACGGAGATGGATTAAAAAGATTTTTTTAAAAGTCGAAACTAAAAACAAACAAATGATCAGGAAAAAATAATTATCAGAAAGGTAGATGAAAAGGCTAAAAATAAATACAGCTGAAATTGGCAAAAAGAGGCTGAAAGGAGCATAAAAAGCCAAACTTATTAGAAGCACAAAAGGTAGAAATGAGCAAAAATTAGCAGAAAAAGGCCTAAAAAGGTTGAATTTAGAAGAGAAAAAACTGAAATTGGCACAAAAAAGTAGCTTTTTAGCAGAAAGAGACTGAACAATGTTCACTCTCCAGTCCGTCAGTGACATGGGGCTTTGGCATAACACTTGTAATCTTAGTAAACTGATGCTTGTCTGGACCTCGGACCTCCAGGAAACTGATCAACACTGGCTGGTTTTTGATGGTGGAGGATGTTGATCAAAGATGTTTGGGGTTGTCGTCTTAGACATGTCATTTATTGAAGACGGAGGAATTTCATGTCTGATATAATTTAGAGAGGATCTGACACACGTTGGGCCCTCGAGGCCTACAGCTGTGCATTAATCTGTACAACTACAGTATATCGTATTAATGATGCAGTTCTTTGGCTAACACCTCAATGCATGAAGGTGAAAGACCAGCAGACACCTGCAGTGAAATCACGCTAGTTTCTAAAGTAGATGTAGCACTTGCCAGTCACAGCCTCAGGCCGCTTCCTGGTCTGACCCTCCCGTCACACAAACACTGAGGACTGGAGACGAGGAGATTCAACTCTTGTTTACTGAAGTAGGTTATAAACCTAAAGATGATTTAAAATAGCTGGAGGAGCTCAAATCTGAAGGTCATCAGTGAAAGAGTGCATGAACACCACTGAGTCAAGAATCGTTCCAGTTGTTCTGCTCCACAGTTCAGGTCATAATCTATAATCCAGGTACAATCAGTCGCCCACCAGCAGGGTGAGATGACGACTTAATACGAAATGCTTCAAACCATCCACATGGGGTACAGATCAGTGTCAGTCTTCTAAGCCAGGAACCAGGAAGTGAAGTCGTTTGTCAACTTTCCTGGTGTAGTTACACTTGTGATGGTGAGAGTCTGTATGTCCAGCAGATGCTATAAAAAAGAGATATAACAGGGACTAAGAAGATGCCTGATCACCACCCTAATAATCCCACTGGCATCCACACACCACTGTGTGACGGGAGCTGGCTGCGGACCCGGAAACCCCCTCCAGCCCACGTCTTTCCCCCGACTCGAACCTCCCTCAGAAGTGGCAACTCATGCTAATCAATAAATCAAGGAAACGTCAATTAAGTTTTATCAATTATATTAAAAAAGGCAGGAAAAGATTACGATTTACAGCGCTGGACTCTCACGCGTTCACAGACCCGGAAGAAGAGCCCCGATGTCCCGTGTCATTACTCATTTATAGGGTCCTAGACTCCACCTTCGCAGAAGGACAGCTCAACCTATCAGTGTATGAGGGGGCGTGACTAAGTGTGATCTCAGTGGATCTTATGTGGACTGACGTGTTAGGAAATATGAGACGGTGCTTCAAAAGCCTTTCTACGTGATGTGGCAAGCAGATCAGACTCTATTCCGTGACAGATATTGAATCCTAGGGAGACTCTCTTAGAGCTGCTGGACCAGTTTAACCCAGTCAGAACCGGGTCATAATTTCGTTACAATCCCGTCTCTGAGCAGATCAAAACCATAGGCCCAGTCCAGAAATATCTTAACAACTCCCCCTGGGCGGGGGTCCCCGAAGGGGTTCCCCCGCATAAAAACTCCCAGTTCAATACCGCCAGATAAGCAAGCAATTAATCACTTTTCCTCTGGTTGAATGTGAACTACTCCTTATATGTTGGCGGGAGATGCCTACAGGCTACAGCGTGTGACCTGGCAGCCTCAGGTCGCCTGACCCAGCCCTGGACATCTGCCTAGATAGAAAGAAAGAAAAGACAAAGTAAGACTCCAAAATATAAGAAATAGACACAAAGAGAGCACACGGCAAAACACCCGGCCACTGTCTGTTCACCTGCAAAGAACATGACAAAACACAGCAACAAAATACATATGTATAAAGAACTTAAAATATTCATGGCTTTGCAGTAAGTTTCCATAAATATATATACCCATACCTACGCCTATATACGTACATACATACACATGAATATACATTCATATACATATCTATATATCTACATATAAAGCCTACATAAGCATCCCTGCTTCTATTTGTGTGTGGTTGTGAGCATGCATAAGTGTATAAGGCTTCTCTAATAGAACATTTATTAGTAACTGTGAAGCAGCAGAGACCCGACCCCCAAGACCAGAGGCAGACGAAAAAGGGGGGACCAGAGCCCAAGACCCCAGGAGGGACCCCGACCGCGGAGCCCCCCGGGCCACCCACACAGGACGAAACACCCGCCCACCCCCCAGATCGGACCACAGGGGAGAGCCGGAAGAACCCCACCAGCGACCACACACAGTGAACCCCGGGGCCAACAGCGACGAACTCAAAGGCCCCCGCCGGAACCCGCCGCACCGATGCAGGTCCAGGCCCGGGCACGGAGGCCCGGGCACCGAGGACCCACACCACTCAGGCCAAGGCCTGACAGGGCCAGAGGACCCGAGCCCCACCAGGCAGACACCAGGCCGAGCCGACACAAGCCCAAGCGCCCAGCCCCCGACTCCAAGGGCCCCAAGCGCGCTGGCAGGCAAGGGCACACCCCACCAGGGGGCCGCGCGATAGGGGCGCGATGCCAAGCACCCGCAGTTGTATCAAAGAGGGGGCAGTCCGAGTCTCGGCCTAACAAATACCCATTCATACACAGACACAATCACACAATCCCAGTCTCATTCTCACATTCATTCACTCAAAGACATACAATAACGATACATTTCATTCTTATTCCCGATACACACTCTATACTCCCCAGGTCCAAGACATGTACCTGCCCTCTACAGGGGGCAGCCCATGCCCAAACCCAGGAGGTAAACCCATTCATTCTTGAGCGGAGAAGAGCCAATACCCCAGACCAGGCCCAGGCCATGCCCCGCCGTCTGTTAAAAAATTTCCACAACTTATCTTCATAATATCTGTTAAACTTCCTGTTATATTCACCCGTGTTTGACATCCTCCCCGTTAGGTTGTAACACACTACTAGGAGGGGCCACTTAGTTATAACATCAAGAAGTTCACTCTAAAAACCTGTTAGTTTCAAATAAAAATTGTAAGTGTCTACTTCCACATTCAAATAATCAGTTTTGGAATCAATTAACAGATAGGAAATTTGTAATTTTACTTTCAAAATAGTGCTTTTTATCTATAATAGCAGTTGTTCTAATTTATCGTTCAAAAATCCCCAAGACTTTGCTTTAGATATAATCACATCATCAATTGATTAGCATTGTAAACACAACCTATAATATTTGTAATGTCAAAACAGTGTTCTATAATCATTTCAGTACATGTAAAAATCCAAAAACTCTAGTAGAGCAATTATTATTTATTAACTCATAGCTTAATAAAATCAGAAAGTTCACAGTTTCAAAGTGTTTGATTGGCTAAAAATATATATTTTTAAATGTTCCTCCATCTATAGGTTTAAAAGTAAAATCTGAAAATAGAAAACCCTTTACTGTGCTAGTAACGTTAATTAGATGTTAATAATGATAAGTGATGTCAATTTGATGTTAATAAACTGTCACAGCCAGATCAGTATGAAACTTAAAGAACCCTAATTTGATGCATGATGTTCTCAGCCCAGGGAGTAGAACCAGTGACTTATTCCCCCTCATCAGTGGCATTTCCTCGGACATCTGTCCGGCCTCCATTATTCAAACCCCCGTCATTGGACTTGCAACCCCTCTGTCAGCGACTCGTTTGGAGCTGCATTATCAGGGGAAAAAGAATAAACATCCTTCTCCCACAATCTCACAAAACTCCCAGTCATCTAACTAAATTTCTATAATTTTCATTATCAATATATAATTATCAATTAACTTTCATTATTGGTAAGTCAATGGGTTCATATTGCAGGTTCATACTCATCTGTCACCTCTGTGGGAACGTTGATCACAAACTCACACAGGTGATCCCTGCATTCACCCTTCCTGGATCTTTTTCATCTTAGGTAAAACAGGTGATAAGAGACACAAACACAAACAGCACAACACCCTGCTGGCAACCAGCCAGACAGAGTCCATCCTTCTACATATCATCCTATCCCTGTCAAGTTTTCCTGAATTGAGTCATCACATTTAGTATTTTATCAGCAACACTTACGGTTTTTCTTCATGCACCAAATTTCACAAGTCATTATAAGTGTTATACAACATCACTCTAAAATGCTATGTCTTAAATCATGTTAGTAGTTGTTAGGATTCATTATTATATATTTTCTGTTAGTATCTGTTAAAGAATAATAAAAATAAGTAAAAATAGTGTATTCCAACTCTTTTAGCACTTGTAAAAATCTTACCTGAGATAAAAACATCTCTAGATTTGATTTAATCTGCTTGTAACTCTGTCACTGAACATTTTAAGTGATTTAGAAATCAAATATGTAGCAAAGTTTTTGCTCCTTATATCATAGACAATATTCCAGCCTAATTTATCATCCAAAACAACCTCTAAAATTTAGCTTATCTCATTATAGAAAAATCAATAGTCGTTACTTAAAATCATGAATTGTGTC